AAAATATTTGTATCAAACTTCCAAGTAGTAGTTCTTATATAGAAGTACCTTATAAACCATATACAACTTTATAATTTTTCATATTTAATCATGGATATTTTTGAAAATGGATAGATAGAGGAGGTATTTTTGAAAAAGGGTACACAAAAAGAGGTATTTCTCAAAAATTCTCTTTAATTTTTTATAATTATTTTTTAATGTTGTTAAAAATTCTATTTTTATCTTAATATTAACAAAATTAGATATAAAATGTTGCGACATCTTATGTTTTTACTTGACACTTATCATGATCACGTGAGTTAGTAAATTTAAAAACCAAGTTTCGACATATAATCTCGTTTAATTGTTAAACTTAAACCATAATTTTAATTTATAAAGATAAACCATAATTTTTAATTATCATTTATATACCCAAACCAACAAATAACCTGATTTAATTGTAAAATTAAAGTTGAAACCTTAATCCTCTTATGTAAACAAAAACCGCCGTATATTCTTGTTAATTATAAATTTTAAATCCCTATCATATTAATAAACCAAATTGACATAACTGAAATTAGGTTATTGGTCTAATTTATTAATAATTTTTAATATATAATTCTTTATAATATTTATTTTATATATTTTCTTTTTCGATAGGGTTAATAATATTTCTATTTTATCCAAATATTAACAAAATTAGTTACGACACATGTCAATATCTTATAGTTTATAATTGACACGTGTCACGATCTTGTTAATGGCTAACTTTGAAAACCAAGGTTTATATAATAAAATAATTTGATTCAGTTTTTTTGTAAATGTTTTTTCTTACTCGGCGTTTTCTTTTTTATAAGAGTGGCTATCTTATTTATTAACATTTTTACTTCAAGGACTTATAATTTCAGGTTCAGGTTCATACCGTGTTTTCTTTTAACCAATGTGAAATGCAATCCTTATGGAAGGCATGCTTGCATGGTAACATAGTTATCTTATCTCCTTTTTCATAGTCAATCATACAAATGGAACACCTACAAGATCACACAAACAAAATAATTAGAATAGCCGAGATTAATAAAAATTTGATCGTGGATAAACTATTAAACTTACAAAGTCAATCTCATTTTTCCACTATATACACATTTTTAGTTCCGAGAATTACATTTCAAGAGAAACACAAAATTATCTTTTTCTAGGCTAGAGTAAGATACTAAGATATATCGTCATCAACGGACATGGCTTTCAAAGCTTTATCCAACCAAAATACATCAGCAAAACAGATATATGCAAGTGCAAACAAAACGAGATCATTTGTGAAACAAAGAAATTAATTAAAACGAAAATCTAAGGACAAATGGGATACTTTGTAAACGAAAAGCTCATTTCAAAGGATGATTAGAAAACACTATTTTTGAAAAAAATGTACCTATAAGCCCAAAATAGGGACAACATAATATATATCATTGGTATAAAAGTTTATTTATGCAAAAGTGAAATAGAATACAAATTTGACACATCAAGAAATTATTATGGCGCAGTGATATATATGCTATATATATATGTTTTACTTTATAGTATTAATCCTATTTTTTTTTTTAATTTTAAGAACTGCATGATATATATCACTTTATGTCACAATTTATCACTAATTGAATAAATATATATCTATATAAAATTATATATATATAAAGTTAGTGAAAATTTAAAAATGTTAAAGCTTAATTAAAAACATAATCAATTGAAGATTATTTACCATTTATAAAAAGAAATTGTGATCATATTTTTCCAAAATGACAAATGTTTAACAACTCAGACAGATGCATATACATTATGGAAAAGAAACCCAATGTTGGATGCATTGTATATTTCTAGCAATAAATAAAAGTCAACGTGTTGATAAAAAAAAAGCATTTGACTTTGACCATTTAAGCACTTAAGAATAAGAGTGAATCGGAGCCAAAAAAACCAAATTCAAATATCTTTTGTTGATGATTAAGAGAGAACACAGAGATCAATCATCGTCGAAAGCATTACCACCTTTGTTAAGAAACTCGACAAATCTTCTATGTCTCGGTTTGTAAACCAGTCGTCTGTCGATGAAAATATTGCAATATGTTTACAATATGATTTATCAGAAGAGACGATAAGTGATGATGTTATTGATCGGGTGGTTCAACAACAGTATCAAAACAAATTGATGTGTAACGATGCAGCTCTTGCTTTGAAGATTCAACAAGAAGAAGGTATATATTTCGTTTTCAGATAGCAAAAATACTTTTTATGATTTTCGTTTGTAAATAGTTTTGAATTCTCACTGGCTATATATCAATACATCGATCTCTATATATGACTTACAAAGCAATGTTTGTATATAAGATTATACAGAAGCTCGTGTTATGTCTTGCTTAGATGATGATGAAGGATTGGCAAGAACTTTGCAAGACTTGGAAGGTAATATTATTATGATGCTTCCACATACTTTGTTCATATTAAGTCTTGAAATCACTATATAACACATCAAAGAGAGTATGACATACCTTATTATAATGTAATAATTTTGAGCTAGGTGTATAATTTTCGTTTTTGAAAAAGGGACTACTTATTATATGGTTATGGTACTTCCAATTTTACTTGTTTTGTAGGTAATCTGCAGAGCTGTCTAAGTGATGATGAGAAACTTGCTAGATATTTGCAACAAGAAGATGAATGTAAGTATAGTTTTTTTAATATATAATTAAGCTATAATTTTACATATGTTAATTACTTGATGAACATTTTGTCACTTACCGATTGAAATTGTCGTACGACGCTTTACTATATTTATCATACAATAGCGGCAAATGATACGGACGTGTGTACCCATCAATATCAACCCATGCAAGGTACATAAACTCACATAAAAAATCCAACTAAGATGGGATTCTAAGAAGCATCTAAGTTTTATTTATCTTGAAAAGTAATATTCAATTACTATGAAATAAAAAGAAGTGAAATAGAAGCATGAGTGACTTGTATAATTTCATCAGTCATGACTTTGTTTTATTACGTTGCAGTGAATCATTCATACATACCTCAACGTGACACTCCCTCGGTAAGCTTGGCTATTCTTTAATTTAATTACTTAGAAAAATACATGATTTTTGAAATAGGTTATAGCTAGTAACTATATACATAGATAAATCAACCTGCATGTTTTTAATTTTCATTAAATTTATATATTTATGATTACCAAAAAATATAGGTTATCTATAACTTTCTTAACCATCCGAACTGACATTTTTGTTTTGTTTTTTTGGACTAAAATTTAGACTAGTACATCATTTTCTCAATATGAAGATGGTGCGAACTTCTCGGTGAGTCCTTCTAATATCTCCCACAATGCTCCTGCTAATGAGGACATTGATCCGGCAAATATGACCTATGAGGTATGTACCGTGCCAACCTAACAACTTCATCCATATGGTTTCTGAGCAAGAAGATAAAACTCATATATAAATGTTGTTTTCTTTGCTTTGGATGAACAGGAAATAAATGAATTAGAAGAAGCTATTGGAGAAGTCAGTAAAGGATTGTCGCAAGAGAAGATCTCCCGGTTGAAGACTCATAAGTATGGTACTAAAACCAAAACTAGGTGTTGGCTTAGGAAAAAGAAGTTTGTTGCCGATGATTCTCAGTAAGATAATCATTTCAACTCTATCTTTTACTTCGTTACTATAACCAAATTAGCTAACATAATTGGTTTCAAATAAATAGATCATGAATCTAATTTTGGTTTGATTTCGTTTGGATAATATATCGTAGGTGTTCAATATGCCTAGTGGACTATGAGAACGGAGATAAGATTATGGTATTGCCATGTAATCATATCTACCATAAGGATTGCATTTCTCAATGGCTGAAACAAAACAAGGTATACATATATATATATATGAACATTATAAATGCAATCTAAATGTTCATTTTGAAAAGGGCATATATTTTATCATGACTTATTGAGTAATATACAATCCCATTTTACTATTCTAACCAATCTAATGGTTTTTTAAATAAATTTGCAGGTATGCTGCGTTTGCAAAGCCGAGGTTTATCCATGATACTAATTAAATTCCGTCGGACCATAATGTTTAGCAGTCTATAATGTTCGGTTTAGACTTTCTTAAAGTTTGTTTAAACGAAAATAAGAATTTCTTAAAGTTATTATCCTCCAATCATTCTCCCCAATTTTTTCTTAAGTATTATTATCATTGAAATGAATACTTGTGCATATGCATAAGTTTATATAGTTCATCAAAGCATGTGTTGGGGTTTTACTGATCTCGAAACTTTTTTGCATTTTGTATGTATTATTGTTGGTCAGAAACTCACAATCGTATGGAATGAGATATAATAGTGTTATCCAACTAATGAAAAAATTGGCTATATATATCATTGATATGACTATGGTCGAGCAAGACCCGGAGCTCGAAGTGGAGGAAGCCATTGACAAGGAGCAACAAGAAGACAAGGAGCAGCACGTAGCGGAGGAACATCTCAAAGCGGAGGAAGCACTAGACGTCCCGGAAGATCCTCCGAAAAGATCAAGGCTTAAGGAGCTCAACCCATCAACCAATGGAAAACTTAGGGAGCTAGACAAGAAGCAAGAAGACGTGGCTCAAGTCTCCTCAATAATCATCACGACTCAAAAGGTTCGGTAAAGGGTTAAGTGTTGCTTATGCACTCTTTTTCCCTTGTCAAGTTTTGTCCCATTGGGTTTTCTTGACAAGGTTTTTAATGAGGCCTAAGTAACACTTTCTAAACCTTTTATCAAACCAAATTTGTGGGTCCAAGGCCCAACACTTTGCCTTGGCCCATTTTCTATCTTTTCTCTTCATTCTTGCATTTATTGTTTTGTTATTTCCAAGATTTGGTCCATGGTCTTGCATGAGTGTATTTCCAAGACACTTGTGTATTTCCAAAGCACCCCTCTCTCCCTTTCCCTTCTACTATATAATCCCCCTCTACCTCTCATTTGTAACTCATCTAATCTTTTATCAAAAACTCTTTCTAAGTTAGATCACTCTCTCTTGTTCTTTATTTGGTGTGTAATATCCATAGGCAAGTCCAAGTTCGGTAAATCAAAGGCTCTTCCGCAACCTTTGTGCGACCATTCGCTCCACATCCTTTGATCTAAGAGATCCCCCGATCCCTTAGGTGCAAAGCCCATCATTCCCTCAACTTCAAGAGTGTCGATTCTAGGAGAAACATATTATGTGGTATCAGAGCACACTCTGAAAAGTTGAGTTCTCTATCATCTTCATCATATCTCATCATTTCATTTCAATCTTCATCCATAGTCCATTCTATTTTTCGTTTTAATTTTCGTCAGTTTTTGTTTTGTTTGTTCTTTTCTGGATTTTCTGTCATGTTGTATGAATTTTCATAAATATTTGGCTAATCCGAAAATTGCAAATTTGATTGTTTCTGAAACTAGAACGAGTTTAGAATTTTACAAAATTAATTCTGGAATTTTTGAATTCGATTTCATAATTTATTTTGTTAGATCGATTTCATCTGTTTTATGCATCATTTTCATGTTTTTTTCTTTGAACTAGTGACTGGTTTTGTTTTGTTTCAATGGCAGGGGAAGAGAAATCCAAGTCATCACGGTCGAGAAGAAGTGCTAACAATCAAGTCCTCATCGATGCTATCACGAAGCAAATCACCAGTCAAATGTACAAAAAATTTGACGAAAGACTTAAGCCGATCGAAGCACAACTTAAAGGAAAAGAAAAGGTGTCGGCCAAACAAGTCATCATTTCGGAGGGCAAGAAAAATCAAAAGGAGCAAAATAGTCAATCCCCGAGGAAGGAGCCGGTTGATAAAATTTTCCCGAGTAGTCACTCATCTCACCGGAGCAACCGAAGGCCGAAACATGCGAAAGAAGAGATTCAACCAGTCATAGCCGTCCAAAATCAGCAACTCTCAAGCAAAAAGGAAAAACGAAGTGAAACCAAAATTACAGAAAATATTGCCTCGTCGCAAGCTAAGTGTACTCGTTCATCTTCTCAATCTGATTTTGTGCTTGATAAACTAACAAATTTTGAACCGGA